CCGCAGTGCAATCGCCCGCACTGGAACGCCCTCCGTTCCGGTGCAGTGTAATCGGAGAAAATGCTGCATGGACTATTTTATGCGACCGCACTGCCCTGGCATTCAGAACGCGGGCAATCGCACTGCAGTCGACATATGAATGGCACCAATACAAAACACACAAAAACATTTTTTTCTTTCTCATCCATTGAGGGACACAGGAATTCAGAAACAGTTGGGTTGTCCTGCCACCTGCACAGGAATGCCCTCCGTTCCGGTGCAGTGTAATCGGAGAAAATGCTGCATGGACTATTTTATGCGACCGCACTGCCCTGGCATTCAGAACGCGGGCAATCGCACTGCAGTCGACATATGAATGGCACCAATACAAAACACACAAAAACATTTTTTTCTTTCTCATCCATTGAGGGACACAGGAATTCAGAAACAGTTGGGTTGTCCTGCCACCCACAAGACGATTGAACACTGGCAAACAGAAAAACCGTAGGCCAGCCTCTGTTAGAATCTCTCCTGTACCCAGCATGCTTCAGTTTTTTGCTAGTATCCTAGGAGCCTTTTCTTCAGCTCTCCTAAAAAAAAAAGGCAAGTTATTTTTTGCTGGCGTTCCTTTCTTGGTGGAATTACTTTCTTCAGTGACTTCAGTCAAGATTCCTCCCTAGCTATCCTGATTGGTGTTTCCTCAACATGAGCTTTTGGTACATGAATCCAGAGGAGAGGTTTTACAATTTTGTCCTAACCTATAGAAGGTGGCAGTATAACCCAACTGTCTCTAAATTCCTGTACCCCTTAATGGACTCCAAAACAAAACACAAAAAAGATTATATGGCAAGTACCTAAATCTTTCATTTATTAGTCAGGATATTAGAAAATATTTTATGCAGCAATTTATATTCCTCTAGGGGCCCTGAAGGTCCGGCCTTTGTGCCATACTCCACCAGCCAGCACAGCCCAACTCGGCCTGCTGCAGCCGGCGAGATGACCCTGCTAGGACGTAATTTCCGCCAGTGGAGATACAACACAGAACAGGGTAAGTCACCCCTATGCCATGTGCCAGCTATGTGAGTGTCATTTATAACCCTGCCCCTGACAGGGTCCCTGTTTTCATGTAAAGGGATAACTGGTTGTATTTAAAATGTATGTAAAACCAAAACCAGGGCCGTTCCTAGTATTTTCACCACCTGAGACCGGCTTCAGGCCCAGTGACATCACCTGCCAGGAGCTGGGTGGGACAAAAATCCTTGTACAGTATAGCATGGTCCAATTTGCGCCAGCAGGGGAAAACAATTCCTTCCTGATCCACAAAAAGCAGGGGTGGGCAACTCCGGCCCTCCGACTGTGCTTTAACTACACATTCCACCATGCCTCTGGGAGTCATGCCTGTAGTCGCCCAAATGCTCCGATGCCTAGCCCGATACTTCCGGTATCAGGAAGCCGGGCAGCGCTCCCTCGTCACTTTTGATGAGAGAGCCAGCTTTCCAGCCAATCGGGAACCTAGGCAGCGTGTAATGATGCGCTGCCTGACTCCCTGAATCCGGCTCCATGCTCCCTCATGACGAGGGATCATGGAGCCGGATTCCTGGCCAATCAGGCGCGTCTTTACACAGCACCTGGCTTCCTGATTGGCCAGCAAGCCGGCTCAATGCTTTCTCGTCACCTAGTGACGGAAGGCATGGGTACGGCTTCCCTGCTAATCGGGAAGCCAGGTGGCGAGTCATTACACGCCGCCTGGCTTCCTGAATGGGACTTCCAGTGCTCAGTATTCGGTATCGGCGAGTACCAAAAAAAATTATATCTGTACTCGATACCTAAATACCGGTATCGCTGCATCCCTATTTATTATACAGTAGTAACCCCACTGAAGCGATTAAAGGAGAACTATGAGGCGGGTGCTTTTCACTCCCCTCATAGTTCTAGCCGACCTGTGACAATGAGACTGTCACAGGTCGGCTCAGAAGATCGGGAGGTGAGCGAACACATCCCGGCGTTCGCTCCCCTCTCGATCCTGTCAATGCTCTCTGCCGTGACAGGGGAGGGGCTGGATTCCCCCTCCCCGCTCCGATCCTCCATCGCTAAGTGGCGGAACGGATGGGGGAGGGGGCGGGTACAGCTAGATAGGCAGAGCCAGCTGTCAGTCACGCAGCTTGGCGGATCCTGGCATAATTGTCGGGATCCGCTTCAGCTGCGGCGTCTCAGTATACCGTGAACAGCAGCTCCCTATATACTGAGCTTAGGGTGACGGGAGGACGCTAGTTTGTGTCCTCCTGTTACCCTAAGGAGAACTATGGGGAAAAGCCTTAACCCTATAGTTCTCCTTTAAGCTTATAGTAAAAACGGTAACCCACAATATTGGAATTTATTAATAGGATCTCTAGCGCCTCCTATGCATGTACCTCTGATACTCCATGGCCGTCCACTAAGTCTGTAACATGTTGGCATCTCCATAAGAGCATTTGCATTTAATAATTAAACATTTCTGCACTGTTGAAACCTTGTGGCGCTCTCTTATCATTTGAAGATGATAATAAAGATGACTATGATGAGGAGGAGGAGGAGGATGGTGAAGATAAAATTGATGATCAGGGCTGCCAGGTGACGAAGTGTAAGTTTATCACAGTCTGCCGGTTGTGAACACAAGGGTGACGGTTGTGGGGTGTGACGCACGGAAGTTATGCGATTGTTGTGGGGAGTGATACACAAAGGTGGGTGTTGTAGAGGTGGCCATACACTTATCGATTTGTTATTGATTTAGGTACGAGCGAACACAAACAAGTGATTTATCATCGATTTAAAGTATCAAAAGATGTCACGGAACATGTAGAGTATTGATTGAAAATAAGGTCTATTGATAATTATCATTTAATCAATCTGTATTACAATTGGTTGTCTGATATGATGCAGATATCCATTCAATTGATTAGAAATGATCGGCCGTTCAGCATGGCAGCGTCAAAAATCAATTGAATGGAGGATCTGTTGTTTACGATTCTTGTTCAGTTTGGTCACTTTAGTTGCATCAAATGATCAATCATCTTGATATGCGTGGGGCCCCCTTAAGCGTGGATGTTCGACCTTCCTCCATATTGGAACACTTGCTGAAGCCGTGTCACTCTGCACAGTATATAAGTCCACCCAGGAGTGATGTAAGTGATTGGCTGAGGCACTCTCTGACCTCTTATATCCCTTGGGGACTGAAGTGTTGAACGGTCCCTACCATGGTTTGTTCCAGCCCACCTTGAGGGTTTGGGGTCCCCCCCAGCTCCTCTTTGAGTCTCCATAATATAAAATAATGATACATTCGGATGAGTGGAGTTAAGCTTGCCATTATAAAGTATGTGGCAGGATTGCAGATTCCAGAACAATAAACTGTATCTAATGCCAGAACTTTTCTTAGTTTGGGCTAAACTAGTACATTTTAAGAACATGTGTAATTTTTTTTTTTTCTTTTTGCCATTTGAGAGACTTTCCTGTCTTCATCTGACACAACTGGAAGTGAAAGCAGGTATCAATAAGTACTTAGAATCGGCTTGTGGAATGTATAGCAGCCAGGAATGTGTTTATAAGTCTGAGCTGCAGTCTATGTAAGCCTTACGTCAGTGGCAGCAAAACAATTTGGGCCAACTTGCCATCACATGACCTGCTTTTGTGCCTGCAATAGATTCTGCAGTTTAGCAGCATCTCAGTCAGGAGTCGCGGCTGTGCAGGCTGCTAAATTATAGAATATCCATTGTGAATATCCATCACTTTCATACAATAGCTGCAGCCATTTGTTATAGTCTATTAAATATTGATTAACTCACAAAGTTAATGTCACCTTTTATGCGCTGGTCACAGGTACACTTTATAGGGATCAGCAAGGTAAGGCACGGGGGCCCCGTTGGGCACACAAAGCCGTTTTTAGTGGCACCTGGAAGATTGATGTCTTCTAACTGACTTGATAGTTCTCATTATAACATAACTATAGTAAAGTGTGTAAAATGTTATCTAGTCTGTAGTGTCATTAAAGTTTATTATAGTAATTATATTTTAAAAAAAAACCAGATTAAATCAGTAAATAAAAAAATATCTCTGCGGAGCAATATTCTGCATGCATGTGATCCTCGCTGAGCGGCCACACACACACACAAAAAAATCCAGTGTTTTTTAAATTTGATTGACGAGGATACATTTGAGGGGAAAACGCATCTTTATGTTTGAGTGGATGGGGATTGAGGAGTTTGAAATGCAGAAGGCTGAACTTATACTGTGTGTGTGTGTGTGTGTGTGTGTGTGTGTGTATATATATATAGAGAGGGTGTATAAAAAAGATGTATGAAACACACACACATAGATATATATATTAGACATGTGCGATTCGTTTCGTTCCGAATCGAAATTCGGACGAATTTTCGGAAATTCGGACATTCGGATGTATCCGAATTCCGAATTACAGACATAACGAATGCAAACGAATCCGAATTTCCATTTCCGAAATTCGGTAGCGTTAGTACGAACGTTCGTTTCGTTTTCTGTTCTTATTCGTTTCTTATTCGTTTCTTATTCGTTTCGTTCGTTGGAGCAAAGTGACATTAGAGAAGGAGAAAAATATTTCCCCCCCTTCAAATGTCACTGCTGCGAACTAAACGAATACGAAACGAATAAGAT